GGCCCGGGGGGGGGGGGGCTGCTCCTCAGAATCTGCAACTCCTGTAAACACTGGCCTCCCTTCATCACCTTTAAGAAACTCTGAATTGCTGCTTCCCTCTCAGCTCTGGCCTCACTTGCTCAGGGAGCTCTGTGGCCCCAGGTTCAGCCAGTACACACAGACTCCCCAAACCCATTCTCATTCACAGGTCTCACCTGGGCTTGTATTTTACATGCTGTAGATGTGATATCTTGGTGAATGTCTGCTCCTTCAGGGGACTCGAAGCTCTGAGAACAGGAACCCCATTCACTTTTCCTCGCTACTGTGACCCCAGGATCCAGCCCCGTGCTGACACACATGGAGTATTTAGATATTTGTTGAATAAATGAGTGACTAAGAGTGATCACAGGGATCCTGAACTCCTATTGACACAACATTGGTCTAGACTCCAGAGCAGCACTACTGTAGGTTCTTATAAACTGCGGAATCCAACCGGGTGCAATCCTGCAGCAGCAGCTCCGAGGCCTCGGGCTCCAGGGCCCGGGAAAACACTGTCTTCTGCTGCACTCAGCCTGACCCCTCTACCTTCCGGGTCACAGCCCATGACATGCCCCGTGAGGCTTGAAGCAAATGTTTGCGCTGCTTTAACCATGTCTCAGGGGACACTCATGAGAGAGAAAATCAGACGAGCTCCATCCTTAGGGCCAGAATGAAAGTCTCCCTCCTTTGGGGGCTTCCACGGCACCCTGCCCAGACCTCTGTCCCAGCACCAGCCAGGTCTTCCCTGGGGTAGAGCTGAGCTTCCAGAACCAAAGGTTTTCAGGGTGAGAACGTGAGGCCCTGGAGGCAGGATCCACCTTTTTCCTGCTTTGTGGTTTGATGTGCTTGGTTTCGGCTGATTCCTTGGTGTAGATAGGGGTTCTCAACCTCTGCACTATTGACATCTTGGAGTGGAGAGTTCTTTGTTGGAGGAGGGGCAGCAGGGGAGAAGCTGTCCTGTTCATTATAGGATATTTAGCAACATCCCTGGACATTACCCAGCAGATGCCAATAGCACCTTCCTCTCCAGTAGTTTCAATCAAAAATGCCTGCAGATATTGCCAAATTTTCTATAAGAGGCAAAATTGCCTTCACTCTCGCACACTGATCACAAACAAAAATAGCACCAGCTAGATACATATGGAAGGTGCCTTCTTCAGCAGAAAAGCCCTCTGTTTATCTCTGAGGAAGGACAGATGACTTGCACTTAAAATCACAGCTTGATGGAGCAGCCACCATGGAAAACAGTATGGCAGTTCCTCAAAAAGCTAAAAATTACTATGTGATCCAGTAATTGTACTTCTGGGCATGTACCCCAAATAATTTAAAGCAGGAACTCAAAGGATATTTATACACCCATGTTCATAGCCCTGTTGTTCAAACTCAGAGACATGAAGCAACCCAAGTGTCCATTGACCGGTGAGCCGAGAAACAAAATGAGCATGTGTGTACATGGTACATTATTCAGCCTTAAAAAGGAAGAATACCCTGACACATGCTACAATGTGCATGAACCTTGAAGACATTTTGCTAAGTGAACTAAGCAGTCACAAACGGGCAAATGCTGTGTAATTCCCCTTAGATGAGGTAGTAAAATTCATAGACAGAAAGTAGAATAGTGGTTACCCGGAACTGGGGGAGGGGAAGGGAGGGGGATTCAGTGTTTAATGGGCACAGATTCTATTTTGCAAGATGAAAAGAGTTCTGGAGACGGATGTTGGTGAAGGCTGTACTGCACAACAAAGTGGACATATTGAACTATCTGTACCACTGAACTATACACTTAATTGTTAAAATGGTAAATTTTATGTGATGTACATTTTACCACAATTTTTAAAAATCACGGTGTGGAGGACACTGGGTCTGGGTTAAGACACAGGGTACAAGTCCCCCTCCCTCCCACCGTGCACCAGAAACACACCAGGTTCGGTCTCAGGGCTCAGTGCCCTCCTGCTCACTTGTTCTCTTCTAATGCTGGGAGGTACTACATAGTTCACAGGGGAGGAAGCATGGCCAGAGGGTGACAAGACATACAAACGCACATTGCTAGTAAGTTGCAGATTCAGAATTAACACTCAGGTCAATTTACCAAAAAAAAAAAAAAAAAAAAAAATTTTAAAAATTTTTTTTTTTTTTTAGTTTTATTCATTTCAAACGGGCCGGATCCGGCCCGTTTGAAATGAATAAAACTAAAAAAAAAAAAAAGACCGTACCCTTTTATGTAATGATGTTTACTTTGAATTTATATTAGTTCACACAAACCCCCCATCCATGCTTTTGTTCCTGCCCTCCGGTCCAGTTGAAGAACCCATTGTGGCCCTCGAGTCAAAAAGTTTGCCCACCCCTGGGTTAGCTGATGCCTGATTTAGGTTAACAAGAAGACTTTTAAAGATTTTTTTTTTTTTTTAGTTTTATTCATTTCAAACGGGCCGGATCCGGCCCGCGGGCCGTAGTTTGCCCACGGTTGAGCTAACCCTTTTTGTAAAGGGCCAGGTAGTACATATTGAGGCTTTGCAGGCCCTCCGGTCTTTGGCACAAACTGCTCAGCTTTGCCTTGGGAGTGAGAGCTTCTGTGGACACTATGTAAATGAGTGAGCACACTGTGTTCAATACAACTTCACTTGCAAGAACAGCTACTGGGCCAGATTCGCTTGGTCTGCCAATTCCTACATGATTCTTAACAGTCTAGCTAAGCCAGGAGTTCCAGACAGTGCTGGGAGGTAGATAACCATTTCACTCCTCTAAAATATCAGGAAAACAGGGTTTTTGAGGCTCTAGGTTTCTTCAGAGAGAACTGCTCCCACCCTGCACGCCACTCCCTCCCCCAGATGCAGGAGTCCCTCCGTGCCCTCTCCAGCTTGGCCTTTCATGTCCCTCTGTCCCTGTGAGACAGGACTGGCTCTCACCCTGGGCCCTTGGCCCTCTAGGGCCCTCGCTTCTCTAGGGGACTGTGCAGACCCCACCCTCAAAAGCAATCTGTACCCCCATTCTGCCTGGAGTGATCCCTTGGAGCCCGGAGAGGTTCCTTGTGGAGGGGAGTGGAGTCTGAGGCGCGATGGGTGGAGCTGAAGACCCTCAACTGCTGCCTAAGCTGTTCCCACAGGTCAGGCTCCACCCTCTCGACCCTGCAGCAGGATGTCCTCACAAGGAGCCCCTGCCCTCAGTGCAGCCACTTCAGTCCCTCCAGGGACCACTAAGGAGAAAGGCTTCTCCTGGCCCCTGCTCCTTCCGGTCTGGGCTCCCTCCTCCTCAGGGCAGGCAGACTGCCTCCTGCTGGGGCTCCGCCCACGGTGGCCATGTCCCCCACCTCTCAGATGACTGGGAAGTCCACCTCACACTCTGCACATGGGCTTTTGCTAATCAGGAGAAAGAACAAGAGCACTGGGGAAGGAGCTTAACTCTCCCATTCATTTTTCAAAAGGACAGCGAGCTCTCTGTGGTTTTGTTCCAACTCTGCCTCTTCACCGGCCTCCTCCAGCCCCTACGTTCTCCATCCCACGTAACCCACAGCCTCTCCTTCCTTGAGAGTCGTTCTCTGTTTTAAAGGGCCTTTCCTAGTGGCTGAATTTTTGTGTGTGAACACTTTAAACTCTTCTCCCTCCGGCTCCCATGAGGCTGTGCTAGGAGCTGATGGTGAGAAGGGTGGTATTGGGCAGGTCCAAGGAGCTGGCCACCAACCAAAAGGGTGATGATGTGGGAGTGACAGGCAGCCGGCAGATATCTGTAGGTTCTGCCCAGGAGAACCACGGGGCACGTGGACTTTACACAGATAGCCCGGGGTCAACTATGAGAGGCGACTGTCCTTCGTTTCTCTCTTTCCAGCATGTCTTTCTCCAGACGTGACCAGTGGAAGCATCAGAGAGATGGTGCTTAGGTGACATGCTTTGTTCTCTCTCTTGATAGCACTCTCTTAGTCTGAAAATATGAAGAATGTTCAATGCTTCATTGTCTACAGTTACACAGAAATTTCAAAAAACTAAGGAGTTGGTAGAAATAAGTGCCATGAATGCACATGCATCTGCTGGCGGATGCCATCCCCCCTCTCCCCCCGCCCCGCCTGGGTCAGGAGTGAGGAATGAGGGAGGAAGGCTAAGGAGGGATATAGCTGAGTTGGTGTCTCTGCACTCGATGTTTCTGACTTCATTCCAAGTCAAACACAAATGATTTCTTTAACGATTTCCACTTGGTAGCTTAGATTCCCCACGCCTCTGCCGCCTTTCACTGAAGAGCGGGTTTCAATGCAGGTTAACTGGGATCTACACAGTGAGGTGCACTGTGCATGTGACCCAGAATGGCCCTCAATAAATGTAAGTTCCCTTTTCCTTGTTTCTAGAAGGGATACGCAGAAGTTAAGGGTGCCATTGGAACTATGACCACCAAGCACCACTGTCAGACCTGTGAATGAAGTTCGCAGACAGGGGTTTGTCACTGGTTTGCACAAAATACATGAAATCCGGCCTTCTACGTGAAGTGAGGCTTTGGGGATGAGTTTCAGTGACAGACATTTATTGGGGGTCAATTACTGAAAGCAATTGAACCCACAAGTCTGATCTCACTGTGGGCTTAGCTGGCTCTATTTCCCAGGTCTTTTCCCCTCAATTTGTGCAACTACTGGATGGTGGAGGGGTGCTGGGAAAAGCCATAATACACCATCCTCTGGGACAGGAGAGAAATACCCGCTCATCTTAGCTTCCACGCCTTGCGGCTCACACAAGTGAGCAGCAATGGGATTGATACTAATGAGGTCTATGTTTCATTGTCCAACTTTAGTATATTCTGAAAACCTAGACATTAAAAAAAAAGAAAACCTGGCCATTGCAGGTCTTGCTTCTAATAGCATAGCTGGGTTTCCTTCCAAAAATGCTCTTGACAGAGCAAGTGGCGACAAGATGTGGAAAAGAGATGCTTCCATAGAGCTCCAGTGGAGCCTGCATTTTATTTACTCGCATCAGGGTGAAATCATGACTGCAGCATAAGAGACTTAAGTGAGACACCAAGAAGAACCAGACCAGGGGTGGGCAAACCATTTCCTAGCTATAAATCAGACATATCCCACTTTTGTATGACCAGTCAACTAAGAATGGCCTTTACATTTTTAAATGGTTGAAAAAATATTAAAAATATATTTGGTGATGCATGAAAATTATTTAAAATTCAAATTTCAGTGTCCATAAATAAAGTTTCATTGGAACAATGCCACTCTCGTTCATTTACATGTTGCCTATGATGGCTCATGCAGAGCTGAGCAGTCAGGACAGAGACCACATTGCCCATAGAGCCTAGAACATATATTCTCTGGCCCTTTACAGACCGTTTGCTGAGCCCCACACTAGCAGATGTGTACATTGAGGATCTGCACTATCTCTCTCTGGAAATGTTTACAGAAGGGGTTAAGTGTGGTTGGGTTTCAGAGAGAGGAACAGACAACGTGAGCTCCAGAAATGCCTTTCTCTGCGAGCTGCCCCGACACACATGGCACCTCCCAGGAAGGACTTCAGCAGAGCTTTGATGTGAAGCAATAAATTGGTGCCTTTTCACCTGTTTCAGAAGGTTCTTCACCGTCTCTGACATACGTCCCTTATAGTGCTATCACCCTCTCCCCAACCCTGGGGAGTTACTGAGTCAGGAAGGGAAATAATCCCCGAGTATGACAGCAAGCAAAGACCAGAAAAATAAGGGAACCCGGAGAGCTTGGACCAATGCCTCCTCCCAGGGCAGAGTTTATGGCCTCTTTTCAGTTAAGGATGGTGCCTCCAAGGGGGCAAGTTGTAACCTGAGACAGGGAGACCCAGGCCATTTGGCTTTCCAGGTGGACAGGCCCGGCCTCGCCCCTCTTACCTGCATATCCCTCCTGGCGATAAAGCCCTTGCCCTCGGCATCACAGGTCTGGAAGAATTCCTGTGCCTTCCTCAGCATGGCTACCTCTGCCAGCACCATCTCCTGTGTCTCCATACACTCCAGGCTGTCCAGGGGGCCCAGGCAGGCCCCATTCCCCTTCGGTCCATGGGCAGGTCTCTGGGGCCTAGAAACCACTTTCTGGTCAGGGGTAGCCATCCAGGTTTATCAATTTCTCCAAGTCTCTTCAGACCCTGAGAATAGAAGATGAGAGAGAGGTGGGTGTGGTGGGGATGAAGTGAGGCTGAGAAAGAATGAAGGGGATGAGAGAGAAGCACAGAACTGCTTACCAATGTGCCCAGCATCTCTTAGCAACCACCTCTTAATTAGCAGAAGCTCGGACAAGGGAAAGTGTGCCATGATCACTAATTGATCAGCCAGCCCATCAAAGAGAAAAGAGAAGAGCAGGTAAAGAAAACAGACACTTCCAGATTGAAAGAAAATGGGTAGAGGAAGCCTGAAAATAATTTCTCCCAATTTAAACAAACAACAAAACAGATTCTGATAGACCAGATTCTGAATGTTTACTTGTAGGCAGGCACCAGGCAATGGTCTCTCTCTATACATCATCATTTTTTTCTCTCATCTCTCTGAAATAGATCTTATCATCTCTATTTTATTGAGGCTCAGAGAGGTTGAGTGACTCGCCAAGGCCACACAGCAGTTTGTACAAATTTGTGATTTAAATGCAAGGTCATCTAACTTGTATTTGCTATTAATCCCACACTGTCCTGACTCCTCCTGAGCCAATGTTGCAGGGCTCCCCTCACTCAGATGCACTCTCTCCTATATCACTCACAACCAACAAGTTCTTGGTGAGCGCTTAGGCTCTGCCACAGACCCATGGAGGCCATGATGGCTGGATGAGAAAGTGCACCCTGTCCTCAAGGAGCTTCCTGTTGTACTGGACTTCCCAGGCCTGGTTTCTGGGATTTGTGATTCTGTCTTCAGCCAATGTAGAATCACAAATCACAGACCTCAGTCAGGTGTGTGTGTGTTGTGTTGTGTGTGTGTGTGTGTGCTTTTGTTAATCCTCACCCAAGGGTAGTTTTCATTGATTTTTAGAGAAAGTGGAAGGGAGGCGGCGAGACAGAGAGAGAAACATCAATGTGAGAGAGACACATCGATTGATTACCATCCAGGTTTGTCAATCCAGGGCCAGGGATCAAGCCTGCAACCTAGGTACATGCCCTTGACCAGAATCAAACCCAGGACACTTCAGACCGCAGGCTGATACTCTATCCACTGAGCCAAACCGGCTGGGGCTCAATGAGGTTCTTAAAGCCTCTCAAGGAGTTTTTTCCAGAAGGTTCAGTGCAATGTGATGTCATAGAAGAAGGCACAAAACCTGGCTTCCAGTCTGGACTGCACTGCGACTTACGAGACCTTGAACAAGTCACCTGTCTGGGCCTCAGTTTCCCCATCTGTACAATTAGAAGACCGGGCCTGCTTGTCTTTAAAGGACTTTCTCGCTCTAACAGTCTGGAAGTCTGACATTTCAATATAATTAAATGTTTTTAATGAAAAATTGGGTTAATATGATAAAAGAAAATAGCAATATCCTTGGATTTTTCCATCCGAACTTTCGAGAAGTAGACTAGGTCTAAATTTCAAATGTATGACAATATTTGAATTTAAAAATATAGCTATGCACTGTAATGCATTTGATGGGAAAATAGAGAAAGTGAAGTCCTAAACCACATTTCCTATGACCACAGTCAGAATAAAGGCAGAAAATTACTGTATCACCAGGTGGGTTTCTCTGACTATTAGAGTCTGGGCCTGTGGCTTAGCTACACCATGACTCCAAAGTCATCTATTATTTCAGTCAACACCTTCCATCTGTGAGATTTGTCCAGAGACATGGGCCTGGAGCTGGATGACCGCCTCGGCCCCAGGAACAGAGTCCGTGGAACAGAGCCGGGACAAGGCAGAGCAGGCTCTCCTTCTCTCTGTGCTCGGGTTGAGCAAGGAACTCCCACCCTCACACCTCTGACCAGACCCTCACTTGGGAAATGGTCTTTCCTTCATCCCTACATGTGCGCGTGGGCTGTCACCTGATCAGAGGCAGATTTCACATTTTTATTCTGTCTTTCCCAGGGGGAACTGCCTTGCACGTAAGTCCCAAGAGAGCAGGGCTGTGTCTGCAAGGCTTATTTATGTGCACTGCCTGGTACATCTGCGTGCAATGCTGAGCTCAGGGAGGGCTTTTGGATAATGATAGTGGTGCTATCTGAGCTTCTGTAAATACACAGCATGAGCAGAGCAGCTGCGGTCTTCCTGATGTCTGCAAGGTCTCATCCCCACCTGCTGTCCCAGACACTAGGCTAATAAAACCTGTCATTCCCAGGCCCCTAACCTATTTCATCCTATTGAAACCTGACATCCTTCCATAAGGTACATAGGATTAGGATTCCTGTCAAACAGATGAGGAAACTGACTCTGGGATAGGTTTAGTAACTCAGATCAAGGTCTAGTATAGTTAGAGCCTCATGTACTTACTGTATCACATTGCCTTCCTATCATAGGTCCCAGCTGTGGGCCTGCTCATCACAGTCTACACATCCCCAACTGATAACAACCTAAGTCACCTCCCAGAGGCATGCTGATCATTTTAACATTATTCATTCATTCATTCATTCATTCATTCATATCTATTGATTACCACATAGCAGGCTCTGAGCTAACATTGAGAAATGGAAACATGAATAAAACATGGTCTCCAACCTTAATGAGTAAGTGTCTGTGGGATTTTAGTCATGGTGACTGGCCGTGAAGGAAGGTATTTTGGATTGGGTCCCTCCTTCATACCCTTCAAAACAGACTATCTAGCAATCATCTACTACTGACCCACTGTGTGACTTAAGTGAGTCCCTGAACCACCCTGGGCATAGAAATTAGTAAAGATGATCTCTCAGTTCCAGGTCTGACTTTCTCTGGGTCTCTGCCTTCCCTGGCCCATGTCATAGGTGATGCATGGTATAAAAGAGCTTATGTAATATTTCTAAGGAAGCCAGCTATGAAAACGGGAAGGTAGGTACCTTGTCTTATTTGATTTTAACCCCAGATCCTAGCCCTGAATATGGCATAGAGTAGGTGCTCATTGCTTGTTTGCAGAAGACCAATCTTGCTAAATTCTTTGCAAGGCCTGAAAACATTCGTATTTCAGTCAGGTAGCTCTATATCCAGGATTCTTAAGTCTCATAAAGAGTAAGTCCAGACTTCTGTTTCCAGAAAAGATGGAGTAACAGAAACTGTATTCAACCTTCCAGTTGAAATAATAAAAAATCCAGACAAAATATATATTTATAATGGTCTTCATGATGCTGGATATTAGGCAATGAAAGACAGTGCTGAGACTAGGGTAAATTGAGTGAGGCCCTAAAGTGCAAAATTGAAAGAGGCATTTACTCTCAGTTGCTAGCCCTGTATTTGCACAACTCTGTATCTTCTTAAGACTGAGGTAAAAAATTTAAAGGGGATCCAAAATGTAAAGAGGAATCCACTTTCAAACTATGTATCCAAGAGTGTTTATCATCTAAAATTTTCACTGTAGGGGCTGTACTCACCTCACACTAAGCCAAGCCCTGCTCTTGAGAGGTGGAAAACAAACAATATAAGTCCCATTGTTGCCTAAAGAGTTTCTCTGTCATGGCACAAGAAGGGGTAACCCAGGCAGAGCCTGGAAACTCCCTAAGTTGAGAAAACCCAACTATATGCTGCCTAAAAGAAATACACTTTAAACATAAAGACACAAATAAGTTAAAAGTTAAAAGTTGGAAAAATATATATACCATGTTAACACTAGTCAAGAGAAAGCTGAATATTAATTAATAGGCAGACAATGTAGATTCTAGAACAAAGAATATTAATGAAGATAAAGTCATTTCATAATGATAAAGAAGTCAATTCATCAAAAGAAAGTAACAGTCCTAAACATTTATGTACCTGATAACTGAATTTTAAGGTGATGAAGTAAAAACTGATTGATAGAACTGCAAGGAGAAAGACACAAATCCACAATTATATTCAAATATTTCAATGCCCCTATATCAATAATTAATAAAACAAGTAGGCAGAAATCTGTTAAAAACACAGAAGATTTAATTAAACAACACTGTCGACTAATTGACATTTATAGAACACTCCACTTAACAACAGCTGAATATACTTTCATTTCAAGTGCACATGGAATATTCTGGTCCATAAAACAAGTTTCAATAAATTTAAAAGGATTCAAGTCATAAAAGTATGTGCTCTGATTTTAGTGGAATTACATTAGAACCAATAATAGAAAGACTTCTGGGAAATCCTCAAATATGTGGAAACTATGAACCTCACTTCTGAATTAACCCATGGGTCAAAGAAGAAATGAAAAGGAAAATTAAAAAGTATTTTGAGCTAAATGAACATGAAAGCACAATACTTTATATCAAAATTTGTAGGATATTGCTAAAGCAGTACTCAAGAAAAAAATTTTATAGCACTAAACACATGCATGCATATAAGCATAACTAATGGACATAAGACATTTTTATAGCACTAAACACATATATAAGAAAAAAGCAAAAGGCTTCAAATCAATTACCTCAGCTTCTATCCTAAGAAACTAGAGAAAGAAGAGCAAATTAAACCCAAAATAAGGGGAAAAATAATAAAGATCAGAGCAGAAATCAATAAAATAGAAAGCAATAAAGAAAAACAAAGAAAACTTAAACTAAAATCTGGTTCTTTAAAAGCAGTAAAGAGAGAAGACCCAAATTACAATATCAGAAATTTGAAAGATAAAAGCATTACAAATTTTACAGACATTGAAAGGCTAATAAAGGAATATTATGAACAGCTTTATAACAATAAACTTGACAATTTAGAGGAAATGGACAAATTCCTTGAACAACATTAGATATCAAAAAAGAAATAGATGATAGCCATTCTCTCAGGAATGAGGTGATACCTCATTGTTTTAATTTGCATCTCTCTGATGACTAGTGACTTTGAGCATTTTTTCATATGGCTGTTGGTCATCAGTGTGCCTATTTAGGTCCTTTGCCCATTTTTAAATTGGATTGTTTATCTTCCTTTTGTTAAGTTGTATGAGTTCCTTATGTATTTTAGAAATTAACTCCTTATGAGATGAAACATTGGCAAATACATTCTCCCACACAGTGGGCTCCCTTTTCATTTTGTTGATGGT